ACTAACTGCAATTAATACAATTACCTGTACCAACTGCACTAAATACAATCGCCTATACTAACTGCAATTAATACAATTACCCATACCAGCTGCACTTAAAACAATTACGAATTACCTGTAATGACGTTATTACAATTATGAATTAATACAATCACCTGTACTACCAACCGCACTTAATACAATCACCTGTACTAACCGCTGTCATTACAATTACGAATTACCTGTACAAACCGCAATTAATACAAATCACCTGTACCGATGCACTTAACATAATTACGAACTACGTGTACTACAGACCACAGTTAATACAATTACCTGTACTAACCACCGTCATTACAATTACGAATTACCTGTACTACCAGCCGCAATTAATACAATTACAAATTACCTGTACTAACCGACGTCATTACAATATTGAAATAATTGTACTAGCAGTTATTACAACCACAGTACTACCTGTACAGACTGCACTTAACACTATTACGAATTACCTATAATGACTGTATTTAATACAATTACAATTTACCCGTAATAACTGCAGTTATTACAAATCACCTGTACTAATGACCGCAATTAACGCAATCGCAAATTACCTGTACTGATCACACCAGCCGCACTTAATACAATTACAAATTACCTCTACGAATCACCTGTACTAACGACCGCAATTAACACACTCGCAAATTACCTGTACTAATGACCGCAATTAACACAACTGCAAATTACCTGTACTACCGACTGCACAGAACACATTCACCTGTAATAACGACTGTAATTAATACTCTCACCTGTACTAACGACCGCAATTAACACACTCACAAATTACCTGTACTAACGACCGCAATTAATACTCTCACCTGTACTACCAGCCGCAATTAATACTCTCACCTGTAATAACGACTGCAATTAATACTCTCACCTGTATCAACGACTGCAATTAAAACAATCACCTGTATCAACGACTGCAATTAATCCAATTACCTGTACTAACGACCGCAATTAATACTCACACCTGTATCAACAACTGCAATTAAAACAATTAAAACAATCACCTGTATCACCTGTATTAATCCAATTACCTGTACAAATGACCGCAATTAACACAATCGCGAATTACCTGTACTACAAATTACTACAAATTACCTGTACCAACCGCATTTAATACAATTACCTGTATTACCAACTACAATCAATACAATCACCTGTACCAGCCGCTCTTAATTACCTCTAGGAATTACCTGTACTAACGACCGCAATTAACACAGTCGCAAATTACCTGTACCAACCACACTTAATACAAATTACCTGCACTAACGACCACAATTAACACAGTCGCAAATTACCTGTACCAACCATACTTAATACAAATTACCTGCACTAACGACCGCAATTAACACAGTCGCAAATTACCTGTACCAACTATACTTAATACAAATTACCTGCACTAACGACCACAATTAACACTCTCACCTGTACTAACGACCGCAATTAACACTCTCACCTGTATCAACGACTGCAATTAATCCAATTACCTGTACTAACGACCGCAATTAATACTCTCACCTGTACTAACGACCGCAATTAATCCAATTACCTGTACTAACGACCGCAATTAACACTCTCACCTGTACTACCAGCCGCAATTACCTGTATAAACCACACTTAATACAAATTACCTGCACTAACGACCGCAATTAACACAATCGCAAATTACCTCTACGAATTACTTGTACAAACCGCAATTACTACGAATTACCTGCACTAACGACTGTAATTAATGCTCTAACCTGTAATAACGACTGTAATTAATACAATTACCTGCACTAACGACCGCAATTAACACAGTCGCAAATTACCTGTACTACCAACTACAATTAATACAATTACCTGTACTAACGACTGCAATTAATACTCTCACCTGTATCAACAACTGCAATTAATCCAATTACCTGCACTAACGACCGCAATTAACACAATCGCAAATTACCTGTACTGACTGCAGTTACTCCCCAGAGAGGAACCAAGGAGAGGGGGAGGGGGGGGGAGGGGGGGACCCCCTATGGAGGGACCCCCAAGCATGGCCGCCAGACTGGAAATGAGGAGGAGGAGGATGAGATTGAGGAAGAGGAGGAGGAGGAAGGAAGAGGAGGAAGAGGAGGATGAGATTGAGGAAGAGGAGGAGGAGGAAGGAAGAGAGAGGAAGAGAGGAGGATGAGATTGAGGAGGAAGGAAGAGAGAGGAGAAGAGGAGGAGGAGATTGAGGAAGAGGAGGAAGGAGGAAGGAAGAGAGAGGAGGAGGAGAGGATGAGATTGAGGAAGAGGAGGAGGAGGAAGGAAGAGGAGGAAGGAGGAAGGAAGAAAAGGAGGAAGGAAGAGAGAGGAAGAGATAGGAGAAGAGGAGGAAGGAGGAAGGAGGAGGGAGGGAGGAAGAGAGAGGAAGAGATAGGAGGAGAGGAAGGAGGGAGGGAGGAAGAGAGAGGAGAAAGAGATAAGAGGAGGAGAGGAAGAGGAAGGAAGGAGGAAGGAAGGAGGAAGAGAGGAAGAGAGAGGAGGAGATTGAGGAGGAAGGAAGGAAGGAAGGAAGAGGAGGAAGGAGGAGAAGAGGAGGAGGAGGAAGGAGGGAAGGAAGAGGAGGAGGAAGAGATAAGAGGAGGATGAGATTGAGGAGAAGGAGGAAGGAAGAAGGAGGAAGAGATAGGAGGAGGAAGGATGAAGAGTAGGAGGAGGAGGAGAAGAGAAGAGGGAGGAAGGAAGGAAGGAAGGAGGGAAGAGAAAGGAGGAGGAGGAAGGAAGAAGAGGAGGAGAAGGAGGAAGAGATAGGAGGAGGAAGGAAGGTAGAGAGAGGAGATTGAGGAGGAGGATGAGATTGAGGAGGAGGGAGGGAGGAAAGAAGGAAGGAGGGAAGAGGAGAGAGGGAAAGGAAGAAGAGGAGAGAAAGACAGGAGGAGGAAGGAAGGAAAGGAAGAGAGAGGAGGATGAGGAAGGAGAAGAGGAGGGAGGGAAAGGAAGGAAGAGGAGGAGGAGGAGGAAGGAGGGAGAAAAAGAGACAGGCAGAGGAAAAAGAGAAGAGGAGGAGGAGGAAGCGACAGGAGGAGGGGGAAGAGGAGAATGAAGAAGAGAGGATGGAAGGAGGAAGAGGAAGAGGACAGGGAAAAACAAAAACAAAAAAAGAAGAAAAAAAACAAGAAAAAGGCAACAACTTAAGAATAAGGACAAAACAATAATGACAATAACAATAGACTTAATAATAATAATAATAATAATATAATAATAGTAATAACAACAACTTAATTAATAACATTTAATAATCTCAATCTAATCTACATCAAAACCTTACAAGAAAATTTTAAAAAATCATTAAAACTCATTAATAAAAAAAATCCATAAAACAGATTAAATAAAACAAAAATATCAAAAAACCTCACAAAAGAAACAACCTCGTCAAAAAAACCTCATAGACGCACCTCACAACCTCACAATCCGAACTAGTTTTCCCTCATAACCTCATAAGAGAAAACATGGCACCTCATAAAAGAAAGCGTTTCATGAGAAATACTAAAACCTCACGAAAAATTACTAAAACCTCATGAAAAAATACTAAAATCTCCTGAAATATTACTAAAACCTTACAAAAAAATGCTAAATCCTCACAAGAAAATACTAAAACCTCACAAAAACATATTAAAACCACAAAAAAACTAAAACCTCCTAATAATATACTAAAACCTCACAAAAATATATTAAAACCACAAAAAAAAACTAAAACCTCCTGAAAATATACTAAAACCTCACAAAAAATATTAGAACCTCACAAAAAATACTGAAACCTCACAAAAAAATACTAAAACCTCATGAAAATATATTAAAACCACGAAAAAATACCAAATAACAAAACCTCACCAAACAAAATAAAATAAAAACCTAACCTTAAATACTAAACAATGAAAAAATCAATAAATAATAAAACCTCACAAAAAAACTAAAACCAAAAAAAAAACTTCACAGAAAAACTAACAAAACCTCACAAAAAATATAAAACCTCCCCTAATTATACAGAATTCCTCACAAAAAAACTAACAAAACCTCAAAAAAAACTAACAAAACCTCACAAACAACCCTAACAAAAACTCACAAAAAAACTAACAAAACCTCACAAAAACTAAAACCTCACAAAAAACTAACAAAACCTAAAAAAAAACTAACAAAAATCCAACAAAACCTAAAAAAAAAACACTAATAAAACCTCACAAAAAAACACACAAAACCTAAAAAAAAAAATCTAACAAATAAAACCTCACAAAAAAATACCC